GAGGAGGGGTGAGTGTGGAGGTGTAAGGGGTGGACTGTGAGCAGAGGAGGGGAGAAGGGAAGGAGGGCCTGAGGGAGCCCAGGATGGGGAGCACCTTGATGGGACCCAGCAAGTGTAGGAGGTAGAGGAGTAGGCTCACGCAGACATGCTCGCCAGGGAAAGTACACCCGGGCAGGTACACCCAGGCAGGCTCACCTGGGCAGGCTCACCTGGACAGGTACACTCACCTGGACAGGTACACCATGGCAGGCTCACCGGGGCAGGGCCCCTGAGAGTCAGAGCCAGGTCATGATTGGGGTCAGGTCTGCTAACCATGGCATGGAGGGAGGCAAGGCTTCCTTTACCCTTGGCAGGTACACACCCCGGTTCTATGTGGGATGGGTTTGACCAGGCCTGGCAAGGGCATTCCATGTGGGAAGCTGAAGTGGTGGCTGTGCCTGGGGCTTGATGTCCAAGTCCACCACCCTGCCCTCTTCCCTGGGAGGGCTCCTTGCAGGCTTCAGAGACTGCCCCCCCCCAAGATAGGACCCCAGTTTGACCTTCCCTCTACCCTCAAAGGAAGAGGTACCGGCCGGCTCGCCCAGCCCTTCAGAGATGAGCTGGGGCAGTGGGTCCTCGGGACTGCCCCTCCTGAGGAGACGGTACTGCTGGCCTGGCAGTGTGGACGGTCCCAGCTGTCCCTATTCTTAAAGTGGAGCTCGGGCTCCAGCATGATTTTATACTCTTAGTTCCTATCTATCTATCTATCTATCTATCTATCTATCTATCTATCTATCTATCTATCTATCTATCCATCCATCATCTATGTATCTATCTATCCCTCAGGCACCGTGATAGGGTGTGAGGGAGCCACACACCCACATGAAAGGAAATGCAGTGACATCGGAAAAGCACCAGGACCCCTCATTCTCGCAGACGCATGCGGAGCGGTTGCTGTTGGGGTCCGTGATAGACCAGGAACCTTGCTCTCCACAGTGTACTAGGAAGCTCTCCGGGAAACCCCGAGGGAATTGTAGAGAGCGGGATAGTGATAGCATGCCAGGTGAGGTAGTGTAGTGTGCCCACCTGGCCAATAAACACACGTGGGGTTAATTGAAGGGCAGAGGGATAAATGGCTCAGTGAGCCTGGCCTTTCGAGTTCTCAGGTCTCTTCCTTTGTGATGGTGGGACCAGGGTTAGCAGTTCCCTGCTCCAGCTTGCAAGGCTGACTTCCTGCAAGACATCCCCAAGGAGAAGCCACATGGACCTACCCCGATGCAGCCCCGGGTGCTGGAGCAGCCGTGTGGAGACCCCTGCCAGCGCTGAGATTACACATTCACTTACTCGGCTTTCCTCCTGCAGTCGGCATCATAGTGTGTGTTTTGTGAGATGGAGGAGGACTTTGAGGATTGGTGTTGGACATATGGGTTAATGTTGGACTTGTGGGCTTGGGCAGCACTGGGTTGGGATGTTTTCTGGATGTGCACTTAACCTTTATATAAAACTCTTTCTTATACATGAGTTTCTGTGGATTTGTTTCTCCTAGACTAACACACCAGTTTAAAAAATCCCACAAGTCACTCTAAGCGACTGAAAGCCTTTTTATTTCCCCAGTCGAAACGTACAAAAAAAAAAAGAGAGAGAGAGAGAGAGAGACGTTTTATTTCCCCCTCCCAGCCCCTGTCCACGTTGCACTTGATTTTAATCATCTTCCGGCTACATAGTGAAGTTGAGCCCAGGGGAGGCCACTGTGGTTAATACTCACGGTGGCGCTTTAAAGCAGGCGTCTTAAAACCTTGGCCTTCTACCTCCCTATCTGCTCCTGGAGGGGAGTGGCCGCGCAGACAGGGCTTCTGTTGGCGGCACCGCAGAGGGGAGGGTTGGCGCAGGGGGTCCAGCAGCCATCTGCTGGTGCGCGGCGTGCGACGCCAGCACTTCGGGAGGATATGGTCAGGAGCGCAGGGCCCCGCGATGATGCCCGTCTGTGCTCCAGAATGTCTCCTCAATGTCTCACCAAAGGCGCAAGGGCTGCAGCTGGTGTGGCGGGCGCCCCAGCCATCTTTCTGGCCCCAGGCGGTCTCCAGCGGCAGTCCGTTCTGTGGGCAGAGCCCACCTCGACTCGGTGCTGCGCCCAGGGCGGGGCTAAGCATCAGTCCGTCTGGCGCGTGGGGAGGGGCCCTCGCACTGGACTCGCTGACCCGCCACGTTATCAAAGGAGCCTTGGTGGCGCAGTGGACTAAACACTAGGCTGCTCACCAAAAGGTCTGTGGTTCGAGCCCACCAGCCGCTCTGCAGGAGACGGATGAGGTGGTGGGCTTCTGTAAAGAGGGGGAATGCTGGGGGGCTGTCAGCTGGAACGGACTTGATGGCGGTGTGTGCCCTGGCTTTTCCACTTCAGCAACGCCTGGGGAGTCCCAGGGCATGGGGCTGCTCTGATCCTCCTCTGTGAGTTGGTGGGGTCAGGGCCCTGCGCCCCTCCCACCTATGCGGGTGGTCTTTCTGATCAGGCTTTTCCCAGATCAGTGGTAGGGGGTGGGGGTTGAGGGGACACGTGCAGAAGCCACTCATAGCAGGTGGTGCTCCTGTGAAGTGAGGTGAGGGGTCCCTGGGCCATAGGAACCAGGCCCTTGAGTGCTCCCCCAGGACTGCGATTCTCATACCCTGGACCACGCAGAGCCAACTGGGTTGGGGCCCCGGACACCTGGGTCCCGAGAGGGGCAGGGCTCACTCCTGGTTATCTCCTGGGGACTCATTCCCTGATCTATGTGGCCTAGTGGTCACATGCATTGGACAGCTAACCGCAAGGACAGCGGTTCAAAACCACCAGCTGCTCTGTGGGAGAAAGAACTCTACTCCCGCCAAGAGTTCATCTCAGACACCCACAGGTCCGGTTCTGCCCTGTCCGATGGTACCCAGTCCCTGGGAGCCGGCATTGCCTCGGCGGTGGTGAGTTTTTGAGGTCCTCAGAAAGCGTGATCGTAGCAACCACCACCTCCCTTTAAAGTGCAGCTGTCTTAGCCTTCACAGTTCTCCCTGGGGGAGGGGGGCAACCCCACCCACCCAGTCATACCCGCTCAGGGCCCCTTGAGGGCAGTAGAGAGCTGCTTCAGGGGGCTTCCAAGGCAGGCATCCCGGGAGACCACACTACCTCACCGTCTTCCCAGGGAGTGGCTGGTGGGTTCCGAGGGCTGCCCTCTCCGGTGCTTTAACCACGACGCCACCAGGGCCCTGGGAAGACAAGCTCACTTGAGAGGCTCTGGGCCCCCTGCCAGCCACCAGCCTGTCTTCCCGCTCCTGCTCTCTGTATCCAGCCTTGGTCGCCTCTGCAGCCCCTGGTGGCAAAAAGGGCGGTCACCCTCAGCCGCCTTCAGCGAAGTTTCCAGAAGCAACCAGAGAGCATCCCATTACAAACCTGAGCTTCTGCCCGGAAGCTAAGGCCACAGAGTGCCTGCAGCGTTGAGTGCAGGCCCTGGGGGCTGGTGCAGCCTCTGCTTCACGTCACAGCACGTGGGACCGTTCTAGATTCCTTCCGCGAACGGGTTCACCTTTAGCACTTAAAGTGGAGTCTTCGTTTACCAGGCACTCGCTGAAGTCCACTCTACAGCCGGTCAATCCTGCCTGTCGCCCAGCAGATCGGTGCCTCCCACCTGGAGCCCAGACTCCAGCTCGGCGGGCACCCAGGGCTGGTGTACGTCGCCCTTGCTTGGGGACGCAGTTCTTCCCAGAGAAGGGTGGTCACGCGGAAGAGCTCCGTGTCCACTTCCAATGCCGGGACACAGAACGCGCCGGCACAGGCCACCGACGCGCAAGGGGAGAGAGAGGGTGTGGCCCCGCCGAGTGTCCCCCACCTGGCTCCGGCGTTGGACCTGGGCAGTCACAACTACGGCAGGAAGGTGCACTCCGCGGCTTTGG